AATCTGAAACCGACACATCTCCATTATATTTTTTAATAATTTATTAATAAAATATAATTATTATTTCATCTTTATTTAACAATTTTCATTATATTATAATATTATCAAGTATAATTAATAGTTTCATTTTGTATAATATAAATATAATATTAATAAACCATTTATTGGTATACTATACATTTTAATATTTTATAATTAAATTATTAACTGTCGTTTTAAGTAGAAAAACGACCGCAGAAAAAAGTCACCATTTGTAAAAAAAATGTTTTGGAGATTACATAATTAAACAATACCATAACTATTACTAATACTACTTTATTTTTGTCCTAAAAACAATTAAAAAATATTCCTTTGCATTGTAAAATGCAATTTTGGGACATGGTACAAATTTTACCCTGTTGTGTGATTGGCATTATTACAACACAGCTAATTTTTTTATTGTTGAACAAAACATTTTTTAATAATCCGATTTTGATTTAAATAAATTACGTTATTAATAAATTCTTTTTAAAATTGTTTTAATTAAAAAACTTTAAAATATAAAATTAGTATTACTATATTTTTTATATCAAACCAAGACGCATTCCTTTTTTATAGGTGGTGGAACATATTTATTTTGATCTTTTAGCACTTCTATTTGTGTCTCAATTGCGTATGGTAAAACACCCTCGAACAGGTTATCGATAGCAACATTATCATTTATACTAACTTTTAAGTGTTCTAAATAAACATTTGAGTGTTCTTTTTTCTCACAAATAAATTTATCTATAATATTTTCATCAACAACGCAAGGTAAATCAGCTTTAGTTCCACATATGATTCTGGGAACTTTACCTTTAAATGGTCCATACCTTCTTAATTCTTCGTATCCATTGCGAAGATTTTTTTCAAAATCATTGTTATTTGTCACATCATACACATAAATAAACACAGCAGAGTTGCGGTATAAAGAATAAGATTCGCACTTAAGTTCAATGTCAAATATTGACAGTTGCAGCTTTCTATTTTTAAAAACCATAATTTTTTTATATATATCTTTGTCTTCACCATAATATTTACAATACTTTTGTATCAATGAAGTTTTACCAACTTTTGGTAAACCAACTACAGATATTTTAATATTTAAAGTGTCTTCTTTCTTTAGTTTATAAGACATTATATATTGTTCGAATTTTAAGTTTCATTAAATAATATTATTTATTTATATTTAAATAATTCTATTTTGAAAAAATCATTATGCATTTTAAAATCAT